CCAAATGTAATGACATCACTGTTAGGCTCACGAGCAAGTCTCAAAAGTGTATCTGAAGCATTAATCTCAACATATATCCTTTTTTTAAACAAAAAAAAAAACTCATTTTATATTCATTTAATACCCATTTTTCATTCATTCACGAACATGTTACCTTTATTTCACTTATGTGTTGTGATATGTAAGGGATAACTTCATCAGTGCTGTTCAATATTACAAATATGCTTGGTCAACTTCTTTCCGGCTAACATTTTTAGTCTTTAAATTTCAAGTAACCTTAGCTTCACATCTTCCATCATGTCTCATCTTAGGAATACCTATTGGTTCTGATTTTGACATGTATTCTGAACAAAACTCAATGACTTCTTGTGCAATGTACCTTTCCACACTAGAACCTTCTGGCCTGTACTAATTCTTTACATATCCTTTTAAGATCATTCAAATAACTAAACCGTGAGATTCAAACACTCAAACGCATAAACGGATAATCACAAACTACAACAATTTAATTTCAATAACAATCAAGTGGAGATATTCATGCAATCAAGTGATTGAGATCCCCACAAACAATCACAGATTCAATTTAAACATAAAAGAGGAGATATAGAACATTAATCTCAAATATACAAAAAATGCTCTAAAGCTAGAATTTAATCGGAGAGAAACATCAACCACCTCAAATGGGACAAAATGTAGGTGTTTTCGTCACTCATTGTGATTAAAATGTACCTTGGGAGGAGTTGGTTTGGTCGTTGTTGTCGTTGTCACTCGAAACCCTCGTGCACAGGAAGAAGAAGAATCCCTAGGTGAGATTAAAACACGACTTTTACGTCGGCCCCTTTAAGGTCTGACATAAAATTTGCACCCCTTATTTACAAAAATATCACCCTATTTTTGCCTTTTACGTCGGGTGGCTCTCTACTGGACATAAAAAGAAGTTTTTTTGTCGGTCCCTGTGAGATCCGATGTAAAAATCGTGTCCCTTATTTACAAAAATGTCATCGTATTTTTTTTATGTTGGCTATTTTTTGGTCCGATGAGATTTGGGTGACGTAAAAAACACATTTTTCACTAGTGTGGGAATTGCTCCTAAAGATGTTGTCATAGCGGACATGAGGTCGAGACACTTCATTCCTATACAGAACATTTGGTGTCCACCGTGGGACCAAGAGTCGAGTCTTGTTCCACTCATACCCCTTAGTCCTCAACTAGGGGGCTATGTTCCGGTACGCTCATGAGTCTTACACCACTTAGGAGTCAAGGTCAATAATAGTTTATATACACCTTTCTCTCTTAACCGACCTAGTCACCTTTTAATAAGGACAAAATCGTGACAGACGAGAGTTTCAAAGCAACAATACCTTGGACATGGGAATTGATCTTAATGATGTTATCATAGCGAACATATGGTTGGGACACTCTCGTTCCTAGATGGAACATATGGTTGGGACACTCTCGTTCCTAGATGGAACATTTTGGCACCCACCGTGGGCCCAAAAGCTGAGTCTTGCTCCACTCATATCCCTTAATCCTCGACTAGGGGCTATGTTCCGATATGCCCATAAGTCTCACATCGCTTAGGAGTCGAGGTCAATGGTAGTTTATATACATCATTCTCTCTTAATCCACATAAATGTCTTTTAAGAGCAAAACCGTGATAAACTAGACTTTCAAAATAAATAATATCTTGGACATGAAAATTTACCCTTACAATATTATCATAACGGACATAAGATTAGGAATTAGTCATAACATATATATTTACAAGGTTCGGAGATTCTTTGCTCCATTGGATTGATATGACATGTTATTATATTTTGGAAGAAAGTAGATAATATAGTGGTCATATTTATAGATTTTTACTAATGTATTTTAGATAATAAGTTATATTTATTTAATGTTGATTAAGGAAACTGATTCAACTATACATTATTACTATAATATTTATTAATGTAGTGAATATTTTCATTGTATAATAAATGTCATAAATTTAAAAATATGACAGATAGAATAAATATTGTAGGAGTTAATTTATATTATTATGACTTTAATATTAATTTTATTAGAATTATAACAAATTATAGCATATTTTCTTATCTAGTCTAGGATATCAACTGAACTTTGAACAAGGAAATCGGTCATTGATATGATATTGGGAAGGTTATCGCCATCGGTTATGAAAAAATGATAAAGGTATATGCCAAAAAAATCACTTATAAGACAATATTTTTAGCACTCAGATGACGATGGGAGGACGAAATTTTTTTCCTAAGACGAAGAAGAGTTATTACCTAAGTTTATTACAAAAAAATTAAGAAAAACTCTTTTTAAAATATAATGATATTTGAAACCAATTTTAGGTTAAAAATCGATTATTTCTAAATTTAGGTTAAGAAATCGATTATTTTCTATTTTAAAATAATTATTTCAAATTTGAAAAATTAATGTAACTCTTAAAATATTTATTTTTCTCTAAATATCAAACAAAAATATATTTAAAAACTATTTTAAATTATTTAATTTTTAGAACTACGAAAATATTTGAAACTACTTATTTAGGTTAAATAATAATTGACATTACATAAGATTACGTAATTAATTTCTTTCCTAAAATATTTGTGAAGGTTGGTATTTTAGTTTTAAATTATGTTTTATATTTTTATAATTCATCTCATTAGAGTGTATAAAATAATGTGAGAAACTATACTTAATACACTTACATATCATACAATAAGCTAAGGTATTCTAATAATTTCTTTTAAAGAGGTCATGGTCGTTGAAAGAGATAGGACGACAATTTTAAAATTATTTTAATTTTTTAAAGATGATTCATATATAATCTTCATTTGAGAAAAACATAATCACAAATTTTGAAATTAATTTTAACTTTTGAAATAATGATTTATAAGATAACCATAGTTGAATATCTAACTTTTGTTTAAATAATTGTTTTTTTATAACTGTTATCTTATGAGATATATGATGATAATTTTTTATAGTTATTATCATATGTTAATTAAATTATAAATAGAATTGTTGCCATATATTTTGTTATAGTTGGGTTGTTGAAGTTTTTGTTGGTATTAACACTATGTTTGAAAACAACAATAAGAAAATAGTATAAGTTTCTAAATTTATTGTGCAGAGTTTTTGACATACAAATCAAAATTTTCATCATTTTTATCACTTTTAATTGTGATTATAACAACTACAATTATAAATATCTTTTTTAATTGTCTTCATGTCTTTTGTGAGCAATAGTGATTCTCACGTGTACTTTATTCATAAAAACATAATTTATATAAGATTTATTTTTTAAAATAAACTAAAATAATTATTTAGTTTATTTATTAAAATAATTTAAATAATAAAATATAAGATAAATATGACATATATTTCAGAACAGATGAGATATTAAGAAGGGGAGGAGAGATAAAAAGGAGGAAAAAGTTTGGCTTAGAATTATTCTTTTGCGAGAGGAGGGAAGGATCTTCTTACTCTTCTTCTCTTTTATTAAGAATTCAAATATGAGTTTGAAGTCTCACATTGGATTAAAAATAGGAAAATTTGAGTAATTTATAAGTGAGAAAGATTCATAATCTAATGTCTTGATCAGATTTTTTGTTAAATGTAGTGTCATATTCTCTTATATGGTTGACTCGTGCCTCATTTGTGAGAATTTCCATGTTGTTAGTCCCCCTCAAAAATAACTAACAGTGGTACCAAAACCGGTTTAGTTGAGTATGATTAGAATAGGTGAAAAATCCTATATTATAGATCTTTGTGTCGCTACTGGGTAAGAAATACTTTTGCTTGAGGGGAAAGTATATCAATGTGAAAGAGAATTACACTCACATTGGATAAAGATGGGAAAAGAAAGACTCATAACCTAATGTCTTAATTCAATTGTGAGTTTGAAGTCTCATGTTGAACAAAAATGAGAAAAGTTGAGTAATTTATAAGTGAAAAATACTCATAACGTAATATCTTAATTCAAGTGTGAGTTTGAAGTCCCATATTGGATAAAGATGTAAAAAGTTGAGTAATTTATAAGTGAGAAAGACTCATAACCTAATGTCTTAAGGTTTTTTTGTTAAAGATTGTATTATATTCTTATATTATTGATTCGTGTCTCATTGGTGAGAATCTCCCTCTTATTAGCCCCTCGAAAATACCTAATATCTTTTGTTTCAAATTTTTCTTTCTATACTAAAATAGATGTTTCTCTTATTAGTCCATCCAAAATACCTAACATCTTTTGTTTCAAAATTTTCTTTCTACGCTCAAATAGATGTTCCAAAATTTTCTTTCTACACTAAAATTTGATTATAGTCTTCATCAATAATAATAACAATATAAATCGTACATGACCATATATTTCACATTATTAAAATGTATAAAAATAATATATATATATATATATATATATAATTTATTCATCCCAAATATCAATGAATAAATAATAACAATAATAATTTCAAAATGCAATACATATTCTCAAAATACTATATCTAGGGTTGAGGTAATAGGTGCATGATTAACTAATACTCCAATTTGTCTATTATTGGTAGATAAAATTATTTTCAATTTTTGAAAGTAAATAATTAAACATGAACAGCAACCAATACATACACTTCATAATTTAAAATGAAAAAAAAAATTAATCATAAACCATAAACCCAATTAATTATCTTAGGACATCTCATAATACCAGAAACTTACTTGTAATGGATTTTCAAAGACATTTTCTAGTTATAGAAGATAGTTTTTATCAAATATTAAGAATAACCACTAATCTTATTAAATGATCTTCTTTTTAAACATACATAATCATAATAAATATAAATAAGATCATAATTAACTAACCTTTATTCCGAAGATATTATTTCTAAGTGCTATCCAACATAAGCCTGCAAGATATTCCTAAGTGCTATCCAACATAATAAGCCTGAAAGATATTCAGAGAATTACATTTCTCACAATAAAGTGAAGTTTAAAAACTAAAGAGAATCAAGTCCTTGAACAAAAAGGGTAGTAAAATCTTGCATCTCACGTTTACTTAACACCAATCCAATCTCGATTCCTCCACTGATATCTCTACTTTCATTAAGAGTAATTGTTCCTGTTTCGTCTATTAAAGTCATATCCACCTTCTTTGGCCTTCCCCACCCAAAATGTTGCCCATGTCTGGGAGATCCAGTAATAGACATTGTACCCTCCATAAGTTCATTCACATCCGAAACCCATCTTTCTGCTTCATTCAACACTCCTTCATCCTTCATTCCATTCAAAGCCTCACTTATCCCCTCCAAAGCACAAATGAACCCATCATTTCCAATTAACTCCTTAGTCAACGCCACAACCATTTGTTTTGCAACGCAGTTTCCAACATACGTGGCGGGAGTTGGAGGGTCCAAGCGCGATCTACAGTCAATGTAAAATATGAAACCCACGTTATCTTTTTTCACTTGTTTCACTTTGACCAAACACGCCAACACATGAGCACACGTAACAGAAAATGTTGACGGATGAACATTCACTTTCACCTTAGAGTTTGCATGTTGTTTGAGCTTTAGAATCTGTGAGGGGGTCAATTCAAACAAACCTTTGAGTTCATCACTCAGCTTTGCAGTAACAACATCCCACGGCTTAAGACTTCGGTTAGTCGAACCATTATGATTCATCCACGTGTCAACATACACTTCAGCATTTCCAGTAGGTTCTTTTATCAATGATCTGTCATAGAAAGGTGCAAGATGGTGAGGTAAGGATGGTATTGGTGTTGGTGTTGGTGTAGGTGTAGTAGGGTTTTGAAGGTTAGAGCATATTGAGACCCATGATTTCATGAACATGGTTGCAGATTTTCCGTCAAAAGCTGCATGGTGTGCGTTTATTCCAATGCAAAAGCCAGCGTTTGGGAACATATTGACTTGAATTGCCAACAGAGATGCTTTATCATGGGAAATGGCCAAGTCGGGTCGTTGAGATTCGGACGTCCGTACTGCATGGTTTGCGTGCATTTCTTCTGTGTCACAGCGCTTAGCACATCCATGTACTAGCTTAAGCGTGAGTCTTTTATTTTTGCACTTGTTTCTACCATATATATATCTCTTATGTTTCATTGATTAATATATAAAAAAATAAACGTTTTTCTTTTTCATTTCTTCTCTTTCTTCTTCCCATCTTGTTACGTTCCCAAGCACTATTCACTGTCTTCTTCAAGCGTGAATCTTCTTTGGATGTTTTAAGCCACGTATTCTTTGCGTAAAGTCTGATCTCTGATATGGTATCAGAGCTCTTCATTTGAAGAACTCTGTTGTGTACTCTGATCCTCTCCTTTTCCTCTCTTGCACCGTTTCTTGTTTGATGGAAGAAAAAAAAGAAGTCATTCGTCAAATTCCAATTATGGAAGATTACCTCCAGCAAGAATCCTGCTACTAGTCTTGTTTCTCCCGTTCTTGATACGAATAACTATCATTCTTGGTGTCGTTTGATGATAACAACATTAAATGCGATAAACAAACTGGAATTTGTAGACGGAACTGCATCGGAATCTAACAAGAATGACCCGTCTTATCTTGCATGGAAGAGATGTAACAATATGGTTCTTTATTGGATTGTGCATTCTGTATCGTCGTCCATTCGACAAAGTATATTATGGATGGATAAGGCTGAAGAAATTTGGGTTGATCTTAAGTCTCGATATTTTCAGGGAAATATACTTTGCATTTCAGACTTGCAAATGGATGCCTCAATGCTTAATCAAGGAAATATTTCAATTACCAAGTTCTTCACAAAACTTAAAGTTATATGAGATTAAATTGATAATTTCATACCTAATCTCATATGTGTTTGCGGTATTAACTGTTCTTGTGTTGCCTTCAACATCATTGTTCAGAGAAAAAGGGAAGACCAAGCAATGCAATTTCTCAGAGGCTTAAATGAACAATACACAAATATTAAGTCCCATGTCCTTCTCATGGATCCTATTCCTCCCTTGTCCAAGATATTCTCTTACGTTGTGCAGCAAGAAAGACAATTACTGGGTAATAATCTTACTTTGAATCTTGATTCTAGAATTAACAACATTAGTTCAAACAATCGCAGATTTTGCGGACGCACTGGACATACTGAAATTGTGTTATAAGAAGCATGGTTTTCCTAATAACCAAGATACCAAGAACGGAAAGTATCTGCTACAAGAAACATGGTTACCCACCAGGACATAAATTCTCGAACGCCAAGAACAATATTAATCACATTGAAGAACCGAAAGAAGAATCCCCTGATAATCAAGAAGTGAGACTGTCTCAGCCACAATATCAGGCTCTTATTGAAAGTCACGAAGATCTTATTAAGTTACTTTGACAAAGATCTTGTTGATTTGATGAAGTAAAAAATGAAGTCAAAGGCTACTTTGTGGCAGTCAAAGGTCACTTAGATAAAAAAGTAGTGGGTTTAGTGAGTCTACATCTCTGCTTAGGTATAATCATTTTTATCTCTTTGCTGCATGAGGTATCTTCATTTAAAAGATTTTGCAAATGTCTCTAAAACGTGTTTAAACGGTTAAAAACAAAGTATTTTGTTAAAAGGTTTTTGAAGAAACTATTTTAACTAATAGTATATGAGTTTTATCAACTAAAATGTTCTTAAACACTTTTGTAACAGGTTTTTAACTAATATGTTTTTGAAATAATCGATTGTTTTCATTAGAAGCATTTTTGAAAACCTTCTGCCAGTATTTTAACTGATATAATCGATTAAAATGACTTAGAATATTTTGAAAAGTGTTCTGGAAGAATTTTAATCGATACAAACACGAAATAATCGATTGAAATAACTTGAAGTGTTTTAAAAGTTGTTCTGTCAGTATTTTAATCGATACAAATACGAAATAATCGATTAAAACAACTAAGAGGTTTTTCCATAATATTTTAATCGATTAATACAAGCTTGCTATCAGTTAAAATAACTTAGAAAGTTTTATGAAATCTTTTGGCAGAATTATAATCGATTAAAATGCGTTTCAATCGATTAAAATAACTAAGTAAACTTTTTTCAAAGTGTTTTAATCGATTAAAACAGATTGTTATCGATTAAAATCACTTAGAAAAGTTTATAAGAATGTTTTGTAGTATTTTAATCAATTGAAAGACGAAACAATCGATTAAAACAATTTGGAAGATTTTTAACAAAGAGTTTTAATTGATATAAACGATGTCGTATCAGTTAAAACAAATCTGGAAAATAATTAAGAACTTTTTAACAGATTAAAAGAAGTTTTAACAGATTAAAACAAGACTTTTAACAGATTAAAAGATTATTTTAACAGATTAAAAAAATCAGCAGTTTCGAAAATCTTCTATATAAACAGTATTGCTTGAACCTTTTAAAACACATCTTTTAGCAATCAATCTAGTAATCATAAGTGCTACTTTCAAGAGAGAATCATGCTAGTTTTGTGAAGTTCATTGAAGTTCTTTCTTGAGGCAAAATTTGCATTATTTTGGAGAAGAAACTCATATTGTAGAGTTGCATAAATCTGGTTTGAGAGTTCTAATTTCTTCTCTTTGTTTCTTTACTTTCTTTACTGTATTGTGGGTGCCTGGAATTGTGGGCACTGGGTTCTGTAGCTGGAATTTGGCTGCAGGGTTGGTCAAGAACTGGAATTTGGTTCTTGGTGAAGGTTTAGGTGCAGGAACTGGAATTTTGGTTCTTGTGGTAGATTGAGTGTGAGATTAAAGTTGTAATCTGTAAGACGTTCAATCTAGTGGAACCCAGCTGGAATTTGGCTGGAAACTGGACGTAGCCCTGGGATTGGGTGAACCAGTATAAATCTTGGTTGTATCTTTCTAAACCTTTCTCTCTTTTAATTCTATCACTACCTTTATTTTGATTGCTTGTTATGTGTGATTCAAGAACTGGTCATAATTCTTAATCTTTGAAATAGATAATCTGTAAATTGCGAAAATCATTCAAAGATCAATTCACCTCCCCTCTTGATCTCAGCCTACATTTCTAACACTTATGACATTAATACAACAATCAGGAATCAAAACTGATGCATCCATAGTGCAACCTACTATGTGCTCCTTGACTTTACAAAACATGTTAAGCAAAAATGAAGGTAATATTCATCCAACTATTAATAATATCAATGGCAAATCTAGTACTTGGATACTTGACTCTAGTGCCACGGATCACGTATCTAGTTCCTTATCCAATTTTCTTTATCAAAAGCAAATCAAATCTGTATGGTTAATCTTCCTAATGGGAAGTGCACTTATGCCACTCATATGGGATCTGTGAAATTGAATGATAGAATAGTTCTATCAAATGTACTCTATATTCCTAGCTTCTCTTACAATATCATATCCGTTTTGAAACTTGCTACTAATAACAATTACAAAATTCTTTTTCATTCAAATTCTTGTTTTATACAGGACAACAAGAACAACGCGAAGATTGGTTTAGCTAAGATAAGAAACGGACTCTATGTACTAAGATTGAGTGCTCAAAAACAATGATTTACAAACTCATTCAATATCTTGAATAGTCATGTTTCCAAGAATCTAGACATTTGGCATGCAAGATTAGGACATTTATCCTTCAAATGTTTTAACATCTTGAAACAAAAATTTCCTTATATTAATATCAAAAAATATTTTGTTTGTGATGCATGTCAGTCTACTAAACAAAGAAAACTTCCCTTCCCTATAAGCATTTCTCGTACAAAAGCTACTTTTGATCTCATACATGCTAATATATGGGGGCCTTGTGCTGATGTTTCTATGCTAGGAAACAAGTATTTTCTCACCATCGTAGATGATTACAGTAGATTTACATGGATATATCCCATGAAATTGAAATCTGAGGCTCGTGATTACATTAGGAAATTCATTGCCTATGCCGAGAACCAGTTCTAGATAACTATAAAATGTATAAGGTCCGATAATGGGATAGAATTTAGTATGCCAGATTTCTTTGATAAAAAGGGTATCATCCATCATACCTCTTGCATAGAAACACCCGAGCAGAATGGGATAGCTGAAAGAAAGCACCAATATATCCTCAATGTCACACGTGCTCTTCTTTTCCAGTCCAATTTTCCCCAAAATTTTTGGTGTTATGCAGCTTTACATGCGGTACATTGAATAAACTGTATCCCTACACCCTGCTTAATGATTCTTCTCCCTTCAAAAAATTGAATGGTAAAAATTGTGATATCAGTAATTTGCACATATTCGGATGTTTATGTTATGTTGATATTCTAACTGCCAATCCTTGCATTTTTTCTTGGATTTCAAAACAATACAAAGGGATATTTAGTGGTTGATCTTATCACCCACAAAATAATTGTTTCAAGAAATGTGTCCTTTTTCGAAAACATATTTCCCTATAGTAAGGATATGAACTATGAGAATGAAGGTAATTGTCTCTCATTGCCCAATAATATTACTAATAGAATCCATGATGATATGACATTACCTGGGTATGGTAACAATGTTGATAATGATATTTCGGAATCATGTAATATAGGTGATATCACTCATAATGAAACTGAACCATCTAATGAAATTGAAAACAACAATGATGAATTAAATGATACGGCTTACAGTGACAGCGAATTGTCTGATATAGCTGACAATAAATTGAATCTTCCTAGAAAATCATCAAGGATAAAACAACAACTTGGTCATTTACAAGACTATTATGTTACTATTAATCATATAAATCCTAGGAAACACTTTCAAAGCAAATACAAAATTGGAAAATATATGTCTTATAACAGGTTATCAGAAGGGTTCAAACGTTTTATTCTCTTTGTTGACGCTCAAAAAGAACCAAGGACATATCAGGAAGCTTGCCAACATGAATGCTGGAGAACTGCTATGAGATCTGAGATTGAAGCCTTGCAGAGTAACAAGACTTGGACGATTACCTCCCTTCCATTGAATAAGATTCCTATAGGGTGTAAGTGGGTCTTTAAAATCAAGTATAAGACTGATGGAACTGTTGA